AACTGCACTAGACCTGCAATGGCAACTGCACAGGCAAAATCCCACTGGCTTTTAGTTCAGGGCATTTCAAGGGCTTCACATCCCCCTTCAAGATCCTCAACAACTTCAGTGCAGGATCCATCAGCCTGGAAGACTTACAGGCCTTTGGGATGAAGTCTGATCAGAACGATGATGATTCTCTGCCTCAAGATTTACAAAGGAGGTGAAAAAGTACCTTTTCCCAAAATGGCCCTGTCTTGGACTGGAAGCATTGGGGAATGACCTCCTCCATGATCAAGGCACCTCACAGTCTTCTGATCCCACTTCTCATTTCACTTTTCTCTCACTTTCTGGATTTTACCTAAATGTATAAGGAAGAAAACAACCCCTGAACTAAAGGAGTCCACTTTCTGTGCTCACCTCTCAAGGCAGAGAATGAGAGCAAAAGACAAAAGCAGGCTTCACATTCTACCCAAAATCTGACAAAATCTGCAGACATGGACATAGGATTGTGGGTTTGTGTCATTGCCATCAGAGGAACAGGGCCCAGGCCTTATTCTGGCCTCTGCTCAGCTGGCCACAGCACAGCAGTGATGCTTCCATAATTTTACTTGGGATTTCTGGGAAAACCTTCTGTTGCAGTTCCCTCACCTGGCTCAGGGACATCACAACAGTGAGATTTGGGTAAGTGATCTGGCCAGCAAAGAAGCAAAATCCCATCCAAATCCTGGAAGGCTGGGGAAGGCATCAGCACACAACCATAATAATGAATATTTTGAGATAACTTATGAAAGACACGACTCTAAATCAGGAATGCAGCAGAAAAAGGGGAATAAAAACCAGATCTCCATAGGAACAATCCTGCCAACCAGGCAAATATCTCAGTGTTTATACAGAAGCTTTCAGTTCCACACACAAAATGCCCTTGGCCACCTGTGGAAAGGATGAACTTCCAATGTCGTATCAATCCCGCAGGATGCAATCCTGCCTTCAATGCTTGTGCCAAGTGTTAACAGGGAGCTGTTAAACAGCTGCAGGGTTCCAGCTCTTCAGTGGCTCCATTTCAGACCAGGATCCAGCCACATTTTTGCACATGTGTCATTTTACACATCTGAGTGCTCAATCCACGGGGATTAGGTTGGCACACACATCTTTGCTCCGTCAGGACAGAAACCTTATCCTGCAGTGATTTGTAAAGCACCTGGGAAGGTCAGTGCATGTTTTTAGCAGCTAATTTTGACAACCTCCATCTCTGAGCTATGAACAGGAACAACAAAAACCTTGCTTTATCCCATTTCCCACAATTCAGATAAGACGAAGCGTGCACATGAAATTTTCCGCTTCCTATGCTGAAAACCAAGATAAGCTGAGCAGGGAAGGGTGACACCAGCACCACACAAACTCCAGCTTGTGCTGGAGTCCTCTCCCAGAGCCAGGGCTGGCCTGGGAGCTGGGATCTCCACCTGTGCCAGGAATCTCATGATGTCCCTCTAGACCCACCCATTCTCTTTATCGTTGCCACCCTCACTGTAACAGCAGCTCTTTTATCTTCAGGAAGGGGAGAGGAGGGAAGAAACCCCTGGATTTTTGAGCACCTCACTTCCAAACTGCTGGATTTTTCCTAATCAAAGTCAGAAAAAAATTCTCTGCAAATATAAAAGCTTCTGGCATTTCAGTTTTGTGCTCTCCTCCACTGCCAGTGCAATCCATGAACAAACACCCTCGTTCTACTGCTTTCCCAAAGTGAGCCACCAGCAAACTTCACCAGGAATTCAGTCAAGTCGAAAAATAAGGGCAGGGTTTGGTTTCCACGCTTACAATCCTGAAATCCAGTAACACCCTCACTACCCTCCCCACCACCCCTCTGCTGCTGAGATTTAACTGAAAAATAGAGCTGTACAGAGGTGGGTTTTTTTAATACTTTTCCTGGATGGAATTCTATTTGATGCTGTTAAGCTTTGATGACATACCCCAATGACTTGCTTGGAAGAAATCCATTCAGCAAGCTTGCAAATCACGCTGTTTCAGTTCTCTGAGTGCCCATGAGAAATGTGCATTTTCAATCATAAAAGCTGTAGAAACAAAATGGAACTTGGAGAGGCAGACAGACAAATTCCTTATCAAGGCTTGGCTGTGCTCAGAGAACATGTGCTTACCATTTCCAACTCCGGAAAACTACTTACAGGAATCTGAAATACAAGACTGAATCCAAAAGTAAGAAATAGATAAATTTCTAGAAGATACTTTTTCCCCCCTCACCCCATTTCAAAGTCAAAATGGAGCCTCAGATAAAAGCTAAAAAGTAACCCTCCAATCTCTCCCAGTTTTTCCTAGGGATATAAATACTTGTAATATGATCCATTCACAGAGTGCCAGATTTACAGAGGTCCCCTTATGTTTTTGGGGCAGGATACTTCATTTTGGGGAAGCCTGGAGGAAGGAAAAGCAAACAGTTCACACTTTCTTCACCTCTCCAAAATGCTCCTTGAATGGGACCAGCGGAGGTTGCAGTGGGGATGAAGGATTAGCAGATCCCACTGCCACAGGGTAATCCCCACCAGCAGCAGATCTTTGAAGACCAGAGCCAGGAACCCAGAAGCTTCCAAAAAGATCAGTCAGTCACAAAAAGCCGGGAGAGAAAACGACCCTACGGGGAATTTTCAAAACTGACTGAAAATGGTATTCACGAGGCATTTTCTGGCATGTTTTCCTCAAAACACAACTCACTTCCTCAGGATTCAGTCAATGACAATACCTTTGATTAAATGCAAAAGAAGAGAATTAGAGCAACATGTGAGCTGCTCAGCACTGCAGACAGCAGAGCCCAACACAGTTATTTTCCTGGTATGGTGAGCCAGTGGTCTCTCCCATAGGTCAGGCTGACTCATTCTTTCCTGAGCACTCTCCTTGCCTGTGTATCCATCTGCTGTCTCCCATCCCATCTCGTCCCATCCCGTCCCATCCCTCGTTTGTCAGCTCTCTGCATGTTCTTGGCCCAATTACTGCACTTTGTTCAGCAAAGAACACTCCTGATCCAGGTTCACAGCCCTGGGCACAGAACAGCACAGCTCAACTACCATTTACACAGCAACAAAGGGGACCTAAATTATGTATCAGCACCCTAAAACACCCAGCAGACTGACAGAGCCCCTGGAATATGGTTTCATGAAGGTTTTCTCTTGCAGGAAAAGCTGGTTTAAGAAGCCCTTTCCCTGCCCACTGCATTTCCTTATCCTCTCACTTGTTCTAGTGCAATCACTTGTAGCATCCTGCTGCAGAGTAAAAAAACATCTCCATCATCCCCCAAAAGGCTGCTGTTTATATAAAGCATTGATTGGGTCAACAGTCTGATTTACAGAGCAGTTCCACAGAGAGCAGCAATCAGCACAAGGATGTTGAGAAGCAGCTTTACCTCTGGAGACAATGTTTGTGGCATCATATGCTGAAATCCAGCTCCCAGTGATGCCATATCACAAACTGGATATTGGGAAGAAATTCTTGGCTGTGAGGGTGGTGAGGCACTGGCACAGGCTGCCTAGAGAAGCTCTGGATGCCCCATCCCTGGGAAGTGTTGGATGGGGCTTGGAGCAACCTGGTCTAGTAGAAAGTGCCCCTGCCCATGGCAGGGGGTTGGAACTGGATGGCATTTAAGGTCCCTTCTAACCCAGGTCATTCTGTGTTTCCATGTTTTCATTTGTACTTTTTCTCTTTTTTAAATCAATGTTGCATTTTGCACAAAGCCTGACACACTTTTATCCTTTCATCCCCCCTAAATGTGCTATTTACATGTCTGTCACAACAGACAAGAGCCCAAGTCTCTCAGGTGCTTGAGACACACCCATTAAAGCTGAATCCTCAGGACATCACTGACCTTGAAAGGGCTGAAGCTCTCTCTCTCTCCATCTACCCCTGCAGATGCTCCAGCAAATCTACTGAACCTTGTGGTGAATGAGATCAACACAAAACCAAAAGGAGCTTCTGATCTTTCTCTGTGAAGGAGAGATGAAATCAGTGCAGGCTCCATAAAACAACAGTAATGGGAACTGCTCATGGTTATGAGCATCTGCAACAACAAAGTGTCTCTCACCAGTGACACAGTGAAGCCGTGAAGATGAAGGTTTATGCCCCACTGTCACAAGGTACAAGTCAACCCAACAGGAGTATTTTTTTCCCAAGCTTTTGAGAGATGCCTTCACACCCCATGTCTTTGAAAGTGCCACAGTGTCCCCCCTTTCTCACAGAAGAAAAGCTCAGAGTGGATGAGGAATAGAGCAAAAGCTGTGTTTGCCCTGCTTGGAGAAGAGTTCTTTCCCAGTTTTTCTACAGGAACACGTCTGAATTCCTCCTTTTTTAGTCTGTTTGGATGCTGCTTGGAGCAGACAATCCTACCTTCCTCCTGTCACTGCTGGAACAATCTCATTGTCCTGATGGAGGCAACAAAAAATGGAGCAGCCCCTGGGAGGGTGGCACTATGTCCAAGGACTCTTGCTGTTCACCATCATTGTGGCATTTCTGACTGAGATTCTGAAGGGCCGAGACCAAAGGAACTAATTCTGTCTCATGAGAAGGAAAAAAATTACATTAAAAATGTAAACAAGTAACCTTACCCACACAATCTCCCATTCAGAGATGTTTCAAGACAGAAAAAAAAAACCTTTAGGGAAATAAACACAAAAACGCTGAAAAATTCTCCTAATTCTAAAAAAAATAAATTCCTCATAATAACAATACAAACTCTAATGGTCTCTTTTACATGCAATGTTGAATTATTGGCTTGTCATAGCAGTCTTCTAAGGATGAACAGGCTCTGAAGATACTTAGAAACACAGTTTTCTTGCAAACTTTGGTTTCAAATATATCTCCCTTTTGCTCAACATTTTGACAATACTGATGTGATATTAACCAAGCATTTTTCCCCATCAGTGACACGGACCTTTGCAGTGGATTTTAATACCAATCACCTTCACCTGTAATACAATAAATATTTAAAAGGCCTTTATTGACTTAAACTCAATGATTCAGAAAGAACTGCAATTTATTTGCTTAAAAATACCTGATATATTCACAGACAATCACTGCCTTAATTTAAAACGATAACAAAATTATCAGAAAAACAGTAGAAAATAAACAGTGCTGAAAGACTGTTATTTTGATAGAACACCCAGACTATCACACTAGACAGACAAATGTACCAAGCATGAAATCTTTAGACAGTGACTGTCATAAGCAGCCATAAGCTTTAAAATGTGTCTGTCCCTGAAGAATCCGAGTCTCTCCGTGCACTGCTCAGACTCTGTGTCTCGTCTTCTGTGTTTCTGGCAGGCAGTTGCTCTGACACCTTGGCTGCAGAAACCTGGGGATTCAAATGTGGGGCAGCATCTTCTCCTAAAAAATAAAATAAAAAAAAAATTTAAAAAAAATTAAAAAAAAGAGAGAAAAGGAAAGAGGAAAACTGAAGTCATTATTTGCTGTCTGTGACAAATGGCTGAACTCTACTGAAGTCATGGAAATACAAGTACACAGGCACCCTTACTGTCCACAGTGCAAAGGGTGCTGCTTTAGCCATCAGAGTTCTTATCAGGCAACAAAGGGATGAATTTCTGTGCATATATAAAATCATAGAATCACAGAATGGTTTGGGTTGGAAGGGACCTTAAAGTTCATCTTGTTCCACCCCCCTGCCATGGGCAGGGACACCTTCACTAGACCAGGTTGCTCCAAGCCCTGTCCAACGTGGCCTTGAACACTTCCAGGGATGGGGGATCCACAACCTCACCCATCTGAATTGCAAGTGTGAACATCCCACAGATGGGATGAGAGAAGAGTCATGGGCAAAAATGAATGTATTTAGCCAGAGGAGGGAGATAAGGTGAATCAATTCATGAAGCAGGAAGAGCAAGGCATGGATCAGGCTGGAGACACAGAATGAAGGAAGACAGAAGAAATGGCATTAGAAGAAGAACAGCACAGCATTCACAAAACTACAGAAAGAGCATTTTGAGATTTCAGTTTTCCTGGGGACATTTAAGGGCAGCAGCTACATGCAAAACAAACACATATCTGAGTCCATGCACAACAGCAAAGGCTGTCTTGGAGTTTGTTTTCATTCCAGGAAGCTGTAACAATTCTCCCTTCCTCTGTGATAAACTAGGCAATTAGAACACTATTTTCCCAATAAAACCAAGAAGTTAGGCTTTCTTTCACCCCAGTTAATTATCTACTATGTCACTGAAGCAGTAATCTGCATTCATCTGACTTGCAGCAAAGCACGCTTCAAATGGCTAATTAAAACAAAAACCCACTGCTAAAATAAAATTCCATCGGGTGTTCTCCATGCCACAACAGCAGCCAACAGCCTGGGAAGTCAAACATGGAGTAGGCCAAAGACAGTGAAGCCATCATATGGGGTGACCTGTGCCAGCCAAGCCTGTTGCCATTCAGGAAGGCAGCAGGAGCACAGGAGCATTTTTTGTGTCCCCAGGGAATGAGAAAAGAGGGTCGGAGAGGAGAAGAGAGGGTTGGAGAGGTTGAAGAGGAGAGGGTCGGAGAGAAGAGAAGAGAAGAGAAGAGAAGAGAAGAGAAGAGAAGAGAAGAGAAG